AGAAAGATGCGGAAAACAAAATTAGAAGTAGATTGGACTGCCTATCGGAAAATATGTAACCGATATTGTTACTTGTTGAATAAAGCCCGAACTGATTATTATACTTCCCTTATCAGTGATAGCTCCAACGATCCAAAGAATCTTTTCAAAATTGTGAGCTCCCTTTGTAATGCGCCGCATGAAGATCCCTTACCACCTCATGACGATCTTGGTCAATTAACAAATAGGTTCAACGAATATTTTTTCCGCAAAATTGAATTGATTAGAGAAAATGTGGACAGTATCCATGTCGATCCTCCGTTGGTGCATTACCGTAATCCTGAAGTCAAATTAGAATCTTTTGAGATACTTTCTCCCCAGGATATTCATGATGTTATTATGGAATTGTCCAGTGCCAGCTGCAAGCTTGATCCGATCCCATCATGGCTTGTTAAAGTCTGTTGTCTGGAACTAATTCCCTCTATCGCCAAAATCGTAAATTTATCCTTGCAGGAGGGTCGTGTCCCAGATCACTGGAAAATTGCTTTGCTGAAACCAAATCTGAAAAAGTCTAGCTTGGACCCAGTTTGAGAACTTTAGGCCTGTGAGCAATCTGTCATTTCTTTCTAAGATCACTGAAAAGGCAGCCGCCAACCAATTGCTGAACCATTGTGAAAAACATGCACCTCTCCCTATCTGTCAATCTGGCTTCAGGAAATATCATTCGACAGAGACGGCTCTGCTAAAGGTGCAAAGCGATATTCTTCTGAGTATGGACAGGCAGGAAGTGTGTTTTCTTGTACTCTTGGACTTAAGCTCAGCGTTAAATACAATTAATCATAAAACTATCATTGACGTATTGGAGTATCAATTTGGAGTGACGGATAGGGCTCTTGAATGAATGGATAAAATCATATCTATTGAACAGGAAACAGAGAGTTGATCTGGATAACAATTTTTCTGAAGACTGCGATGTTAAGTACGGAGTGCCTCAAGGGAGTTGTCTTGGCCCCATACTTTTTCTGCTTTATGTATCCCAACTATATGACATTATTGACAGGCACTTACCCTCTTCTCATGGATATGCTGATGACACGCAACTTTATGTATCCTTTCGCCCAGATTGTCAAGATAATTCAGAAAGTACCCTAGCCATACTGGAAGATTGTATTTCTGATGTTCGTACTTGGCTGTTGTCTCATAAATTAATGTTCAAAGATTCGAAAACGGAATTTCTTGTAATTGGTACACCACAACAACTTTTGAAAATAAACATTGAATCCGTTAACGTTGGTGGGGTCCAAATTAAGCCGGTTGACAGTGTTCGAAATTTGGGATCTTGGTTTGACAAGCATATGTCAATGTCAGTTCATGTAGGCAAGATGTGTAGTAAAGCATTCAGAGGACTTTATAAAATACGACAAATTAGAAAATTTTTATCTACTAATACAACGAAAACTTTGATACATGCTTTCGTGACATCACACGTGGACTACTGTAATGCTCTGTTGGCTGGCATACCTCAGTATCAAGTCCAGCGAATGCAGAGAGTTCTTAATGCCGCTGCTAGACTAATCTACCACTGTCCAAGATTTTCTCACATCACCCCAGTTTTGAGATCACTTCACTGGCTACCGGTAAAATTCCGGGTGGAATTCAAAATTGCTTTACTGGTTTACAAGGCTCTTAATAACATTGCCCCTATCTATATCTCTGAAATGCTTATTCCAAAACAATCAAATGACCGCTGGACATTACGATCGGATGGTCAAGGTCTACTATACATCCCGAAAACAAACTGTAAGACTCTAGGAGATCGGGCTTTCGCACATGCTGCTCCACAATTATGGAATTCTCTGCCTCTGGATGTCAGGAACTGTGAAAACATTTCTGTGTTTAAGAAACGCTTGAAAACATTTCTTTTCAATAAGGCTTATAACCCTTTATAGGTTGAGACCATATTGGATTCTATCATTCTTATTATAGATACGTACATTAATGTATATTCTAATTGTATACAATACCATGTTTTATATAGCATATTTAATTCTTAATATATTTAGATTTTTATAATGTACAGCGCTTCGAGTATATAATATAACATATGCGCTTTATTTAAATGAATAAATTATTATTATTATTATTATACATCTAGGAAAAAGATTAAATTTGCATAATCCAAACTTATCCATAATCAATGGGAGCATGTGCCCCCCCCCCCTTTTTTTAAAAGTGAAAGTACCCTATTTAAAGAAAGAAAAATATATTTCTTGAATGAACGCCCTTTTTTGCTAAAAAAGTGCCTTTTTGCAGTAGTAATTAGTAAAGACTCTGTAAAAACCACTTCTGACGTTATAGAGACTCCAAATTTTCAAAAATTTTCGTTCGGCTCGTGAACCACATAATATTGTTTCATTTTGATCATATACAAAAGTGCCCCTTTTAGTCAATGCCTCTCAACTTTCGAAATGCTTCCGCGGTATCTGCTATCTACTTTATAAAATGATAAAACTTTCTAAAATTATTGGTTAAAATAAACACACACGCCAAAATCTGAATCAAAGATCTATTATTAACATATTCCAACTATGAAAAATTTGACATCGTCTAAGAATAATGCAAATTGATAAGGATATCTTCGGATGTCAATCTTCCGTCACTGAAGTGACTAATAAAATGGCGGAATACAAAATAGTCAAAACGTTTTAGCGCGCAAAGCATAACGGTTGAGTGTGATTCTTTAAATCTTATTGCTATAGGGATAAAATTACCTAAAAATGACAAGGAGAACTTTGACGTTTTGAGCGAATGCCATTCTTTGGGAAGCTAGTACCGGGGGTTGGGAAAATTATATTTGCTTTTATACTAGTGAATGAAAAGCGATCACGTGACAAAGACTAAACCAATGAGATGAATTTAGTCAAAACAAAGTGTAATAAAAAATGTAAATTACACTACAGAATATATTCATACAAATATACGAAAACTACCACAAATACAATTGTATTTGTCAATACACGTACAATTATGCTGATGTCATTTTTCCTATTCCTCAGTATCGAATTTACTGATCCTAGCCTGCTAATAGTATTTATGAAGAGAACTCCTACCTGTTTAAGAGCACTTTCACTGTGTAGCTGCAGCTACCAAGCGTCGTCAGGACAGGGTCGCCACACTCTGAGGAAATTTGTTGTCCACCTATATTGTGTTGTAGCCAGCCCATAGGCGTTCGAGATCGTTGGTTTCAGATAAGCATCCTGCCTACTCTGATATGCATTCAAAAACGAAATTGATCTATTTTCTAAATGTGCTTTTTGTATCCTGTTTAAAAAGGAGTAAGGTCTGGATGCACTTCCACAACATTGCTGGTAAGGATTTAAAGTCAAAAGAAGATTCTGAAAGAGCTGCAGAACTTAATAAATTCGTCAAGGTTAGTATAATGTAATCAGATAAATAATAGCGTGCACATGCACTAATTGCTGTACTTAGGGGCGCGCCAGTTTCAAAGGGTTCGGGGCATGGTCCTTGTGCCCTGCTTTCTATCACCCTTTTTCTTTCTTATGATCCTCTTATTTCGTAGAAGGGAGTACCCACAGTACGAATTTGGCGTTTTGCTTGCTTTAAATCGATAATCACAAGGCGATTAAAATATATTCTTTGAATTGTGATCAAGGGAATATAAAACCGCGAAACAGAAACGTCTTGTCGCCTAGACCTACATGAAGGATCGTACACCAGGAAGACGATTTTAGTGGCGAAAATTATTTCAAAGTTGCTACTAAACATTCTGTTCATATATATAATAATTAACTGGCCGGATCCCTATTCGTCAAAAATTGTAAATCCTCGTGAAGCCTTGCCGTTATCGTGTTACAACAGAACGCGTATTTTGAGCCTTGACAAATAACAACACAACAACACGTGCCCTCATTGATCATCATCTACCTATACTATCCAGGCTCGTGGTTAGTTGATTATAACAATGAAAGACAATTTAAGAAATGGAAAACATTATGCGTGGAAGTTTGGGAGAAACGAGAAATTGCGTGGGAACCCAAGCACGAAGTGCGACGCAATTTCGAGTTTCGCCCAAACTTGCACAAGTGGTTGTATAACTCTAGGCCCTATAGGAACACGGAAAAAATGTTTTGTATTTCCTTTATTAAATAGCCTTTTAAAAACAATAAAAAAAATACATTTATTGATTTTAATTACATTCATTCAAATATTAATTCAGTTACGTTCGTGTAAAGAATAATTAAAGCTGCCAAGTAAACAAGTATATCGCTGTCAAAACAACAGACAGCACTTTTTAACAGGCTTAAGGCCGTTTTCCACTTCAAGCGTTACGTACTGACACGTAAACAGTCAAACAGATACAACGTATGCTGTATTAATATACTTTGTACTTTAGGTCTTCGCTTTCTAAGTTAGCCAAGCGTTGCCTTTTTTGTGATGTTTCTTCGGCGTTTTAGGACGTTTTCCAATTTTTTTTCAATAATAAAATTTTTTGTAATTTGTTTTTTAAACTCCCGCGCAATCCACACAACCCGCGTGAAAATTCGACGTGCTTCTATCGAGTTATAGTAAAGATTTTGACCAATCAGCGCCATTGTTTTTAAAATGCTATTATATAAAAAAAACTATAGAAATCTTCTTTCTAAAAAACGAGTCACGAACAATGAATAGATAATTTTTGTTTCTGATTTGTTTCTGAAAGCCATCATGAAACATGATCATTTTAGGTAGGTCTTCACCTCGTTCATCCAATTATTTGCATCGGGTTATGAATTTTTAATAAATTAACAGCCATTATAAATTTCGAATATAGAATTAGGCAGAAATAAACGAACGGTTCTATGTTCACTTCCATTCATATATTAACATTGTGCCTTCATATGATAGCATTTTGAGTGGGTTTGATTTGTGGCGAGCGATTGCACGCCTCTCCTTCTACCGTCATACTATCGTATATGAATACATATCAAAAACATCAGGACGATATTTCACTAGTGCAGACCTCACAATCGCTCGGCACTTGTTTCCATCTACCAAATTGGCACGACATCATTAGATAAAAATTGGTAGGCTGTGGCGTCCGTGCGTCTACTGGAATGGTAGCATCAAAGATCAGTTGGTAGCATGAATACTTAGAAAATATAACTTGGTCCTACATTCAAACCCATTGAAACTTAAAATAATACACAATAAAATTGGGGAGCAAATGGAAACCTAACCCACATCCTCCTTATCTCATATCTCCACACCCATTGAGAGGCATGCACCCTAACACCAGGCTGTGGCTCATGGCTCGGACACACTCACAGAGCAATCACAATATTGTGAATACAGTATACACTGTATACCATTGAAAAAAAACCACACCCTAAGCACCAAGCTTATCGGAATGTGCGCAAACGCCCAACCCTTGCTTTACATTGTACACCCTGCACAGATTGTACACCCTGCACACATATGGAATATGGAAGGGGTGGTGCATTTGCTTTCGATTTTCAAGATGCACAAGGTCAATGGGATAATTGCACGACAACTACGTTTTGATTCTGTCATTTATTGTAACCGGCTTGTTAAATATATGAGATTGATGTTGGTTTAGGGGCTGTTTATATGGAAGGGAGCCAACCAGCAGGGTACCCGCGCTAACTCGCCTCCTAGAGATGAATTTCATTACGCGTTTACATGAAACGTTTGGGGCGGGCTTTTGGGGCACAAAGAAATTTAGTTTACTTAAAAGCCGAGCCAGCGGACCAGCTCGGGTAAATGCGTTTATATGGAAAACCACCCAGCCCGTTTACCCAAGGTATCGGGTCACACGAAGCAGGACCTCCGTTATGCGGGCTGGCTCGGTTCTCATATACACGCAAGATGAAATTCAGTAGGTAAATTCAGCAGTTGTTATTATGTCATTTATTGGTCACAGCCACGTACTTGGCATTATCCATATCTACCCAAGTGGTTGCAGGAAAGAACGAGTAATTTTAATTTCCCTGCTAGCAGATGATTACGCTGTATTTGAACATAAAACAATTGCACAATAAATTAACCAACTTATTCACTATTTCTAGCTGGAAAATTTCGAATTTCTTTCAAGTAGAAACACCATGGTAAAATCTCACACAGACCTGCCCCCAAATTTCAACTGTTTGCAAGAGTTATGCCAACACTAATTCTACGTCCAAATCACACAGCCAAACGTATCCTATAGGCGCCGGGAGACTTAGGCATGTATTTCATGAAAATGCCTAGAACTAATAGATTTTTGAAAAATGTCCTCAAGGTCCCACATACGTTATAAACCTAAGTTGGTCCCAAGCCCTCCCGCTGTTCTTTGAGGAATTACAGCAAGTCGACTATCATAGGATTTTACATGTCCCAAATCAATCACAGCTACCACGAAACATGAAACCATATAAAAAACATTGACATGAAGACAACACAAATTAGTTTCATTTGTATGGGTAATAGCATGGTTTCGAGTGCAATTTGGATATAACATGCACGAGTGAGTTTTTCAAAGACCTCAAAATAGCACGAGTCCGAAGGACGAGTGCTATTTGAGGTCTTTGAAAAACTCACGAGTGCATGTTTATCCAAATTTCACGAGAAACCATGCTATTACTTATTAATAATTTACATAAAAATGTTCGAGACAATTGTAGTTTTAACTTACGCGTTTATAGCGAACATTCCACCGGCAAACTTTTCCTGGCTTTGTTATATCACATTATACAACGCTAACAGCTTGAAAATTCCACTCAACTATGTAATTGTTGTTAGTCTTGTTTAAGGTAAATGCTTTTCCATTTAAAAATAAAGATAAAAGCCATATTTTCCACGCGAAGGCAACTTTTACTTTGTGTAGCGCGGCGCCATGTTTGTTTTGTTTTGAAGCAATCTGTGACCGTTACTTCTTTAAACTAAATTGCTTTAAACTGATTGGTTGATTTAATCGTCACAATGTTTTTCCACCAATCAGATCAGTTTGTTACAGATTTTTGCACTGTGATTACAGAAAATTGCACTGTGATTACAAAAAATTGCACTGTGATTACAAAAAATTGCACTGTGATTACAGAAAATTGCACTGCTGTTTGGGATTAACTGCACTGAAATCAACCAATCACAGTCGAGTAATATCTTTATGTATATTATT